AAATTGGAATGCGGAAAACGGCCAAGGCTGTAAAAGAACGCTAAATAGATAGATAGATATTTCTGTCCATAGTATCACATGTCAGTTATCACTTTTAAAACTTGTTAAAAATAATACAGCATTTGATGCGAAACTAATTCTTTTAAAGCTAATTTATTAAAAAATATTAGACCACTAAAACTGTTTCCTACATCTCTAACTTCCAGAATTTCACACTTCCGTGTCGCGGTGCGGCGTTGCCATTGCCTTACTCCAGTCTGATATCTCGTGAAAGACTAATAAATGGAATGTGAGAAAACCCAATTTATCATTTTAAAACAATTGCGCTAAACTACTCATATTTTTAAAAACATGATCTATTTTTAGAAGAACTGACTTTTTAGAATATATTTCAGTCAAAATCTCCATTATCAATACTGTAGTTTTGCAAAGTTAATTTTATATTTGCAATTTAATATGATTAATTAAAGATGTTGTTTGGTAACAAAAATTTATTTTGCTAATGATTGTCTCGATTGCGTAGCGATCATCTTCAGAGTTTGCAGCTTTCGGGCCGAAAACAAAGTTCAACACCTTTAATTAACCATACGACCATCGTACCATTTACCATCGTATTTAGTTATTAGAGGGATCTACCGCACCAGCGATCTGATTAATTTTGTTTGCAATTTCAGAAAATACAAGAAGATATAGAAGCTTGCAGATAATGAGACACAGTTTTTACTATTCATTGCCTCATACGAGGAAAAAAATATAAGAACAAATTTGGAGACTTTTTGAATATAATTGTTTAAATTAGTTTGAAAATTGACTCTGTTTTATGCACAATTACGGATAAATCATTCACATTTTCCAGATATTGAACTGAACTTTTTGATCCAGATATTGAACTGGATACCTATTTTTAATGATCAGATTTCATGAAGGAAAAAAATCTTACATCTTTGTTATTGTAGTTGTAAGAAGACGCCAAAAACCATTGAACTTTTGCAAATTTCGAAAATTCAAAGTTCAACGAGAATGAGACCTCCGTCATTTATTTATACGGGTTGTGTCTGTCATAAAAATTAAGACAACATTTGGAGCATTTTTTGAGAAAATTTTGTAATTGTTCACACTTCATATAAAATAGCTTCAAAAATCCTAATGTCCGTCTCAAATTGAAGAGGCCGCAACATCAGATCGATCAAGGAAGATAAAGATCGATTTGGGTGTAAATCCTGCTTACGGTTCAGCAGCTAGAGTTGCTCACAGACAGACGAACAGACCGTCCGCAATTGCCGTAATCCAATTTCTCGGTATCAAGGGTCCACCGAACGAGCTTTCTGGCGGCACATATTAGAAGAATAACTTTACCACGTATAGGAACAAGATTCATCCAATATTGCGTTACCAGAAGTCGGCAATAAGAGCTTTTCTGTCAGCTTTTCTGTCGCCGTTTTTTTTTTTTTTTTTTTGTTGTTGTTGTTGTTGCAGGATTACATTACGTTCTCTACAGTGCTTTTCTATATTACGTTTCTCTATAGCGTGTAAGCAGTTGTAGGAAAGAAAAAGTAACAAATCAACGGGTGTGAACTAATACGATCGTCTCTTACTCAACACAGCCAGAATGAATATTGAAAATGCTCCATGAAAAGAGTCTTTCTTCGAATTTCATCGATTTAAACGTTTCAAAGTATGGGGAACATATATGATGCACTTAGTAGTCTGTTAGGTCCCTCGCAAGGAATAGATAATTTTCAATGGACGTCGAACACTGAAGGGTGAGGCATCTCCTGGATCCCCAACCCATTAATTCGCATTCTGTTTTCAATGCCCAAAGGTGAATAAAAAACTTATTCCCAATGTCACGTAGTATGTCCAGTAAAATGATTTTTTTGTTCTTCAATTGTTCAGAAAAAGAAAGCATTCAAATTTAATGTTATGTTTCAAGAGAAGATTCAGCGATTTTCATACGTGGTTTAACATATCAAGAGACATGTGTTCGTAGGATTCCGCTGCCGGAGTCAATGCATTCTTGGCTATCCGGGGTATAGCTCTGAAGAAGGCCATAGCAAGATGTCCGAAACGTCAACACAATTGACCGAGACGCGGCTCATCCCGGATAGCGAAGAACGCATATCAAGAGCAATTTTTGAACACAATATTTGATGGCGTGGTGGAGCAGCATCGGATAAATTAAAAGTAAATAACACTAGAAAACAAATGGAAATGGAAATTCGTCACTTTGGAAATACTCCACTCAATTTCGAATCACTTTGTGTGGGCAGCGTTCTGTTTGCACGTGGCGCTACAAGCGGGCAAGCGGCAGTGCTCGTAAATCTTGCATGCAAGGAAGGGCGTGAGGGCCTCGTCGTAAACGGAGGTCAGCGGGGACTCGGCGCGCGCGCGTGGGTCGTCCCGCCCGGCGCGCGTCGGCGGAAGCGAGGCGAGTAAAAAGCCCGGAAGCGGTGGCACGAAGACAGGGCGGGGCGGCGGCCGGCCCGCCGACCTGCCGGCTGGCCGGCGCCGGGCGCCACTTCCGACGGCCGCTTCCGGTGTCCTCAGTCGCGCGCAGGCGCTGTGCGGTGTGCTGTGCTTTGGCGGACGGAGACTGTGGATGCTCATCCGCATTAAAAACCGTTTTCCGGGCGTGGTAGACGGGCTGTTTCGGGTTTTGTCGTGAATGAAAAATGGATAATATATTATATAAATTATAAAAATATATAATTTATAATATAATATAATATAAAATAATATAATATAATATAAAATAATATAATATAATATAATATAATATAATATATAATATAATATATAATATAATATAAAGGGTACCTGTTGTGGACGGGGTGGTGCATACTGCGATGAGTCCTCATCTTTTAGACTGGGAGACTTAAGGTTCCTTTACATTTAAAGCTACATTTCTTTTATAGGGCTATCACTTTCTAAATATTATTAGGTGGCAACCTGGCGGTGGCGTTTTCGACACCGACTGAAAAACCAGATTGAAGTCAGGTATATGGTTGGTAAATCTAGAGATCGTTAGCTCTGTTCGATCGTTTCCATGAATTCATTCTATTTCAATATTCATTCCCATTTGGAGATATATTTTATAATGAAGAATGGAAAATGTAATATGTGTATGAATGGAAAGTATGGGAACTGTGTTAAATGTTGGAGTGGCACGTAAAGCTGTAAGTCCTCAACTTTTTAGACTGGGTGACAGCCGAGGATCGAATAATGGATGATTCCCGTTTCATTCCTTTCAGCTACCGAAATACATGTTTGTATGTATCGAGGTGTGTTCTCCGAAATAAAACGCGAAATTTATAATTAAGTGTAAGAAGGCGTTGATTGCTCTTTGCTCGAACGTGACGAATCTCAAACCGCGCAGCCTTGGACATTGCAAATCGCCCATTGATTTCAGTCTTGTCAATCAAGTGTTAAGAACTTATTGATTTTTGTAATAACATTTCAAACACAATTGTGCTAGGAAAGTTCCCTGGTATCTTCTAAAAAAAATACCATAAGCATCTCTGGATTGTCAGGGTTGATGCATACGGTTCCATAATTAGATAATTACTGTACCCTTCAAGGAGTAAATTAAGTATTATTGTGTTGCAGAAAATTTGTTCTGTACGTTTCTGCGTCGGTTTCGTTCTATTGTTGAAATCACTATCTTTAATTTTTGCATATCGTTTCCAACAGTTTATACGTTGAGCAAATTTATATTGTGTGAACATCCTCCCACTCTTCGAGATTCATGATCCTCCCGATTCTCCACTTCCTGAGAAACGTCTCGTGAAATTTAATGACCAGTAGACTGAGGTATAATTTTGAGAATCACTGAAATCACAAGTGAAAACATAAAAGCGTTTACATTTCTTCATAATAATGATAAAGAGCAGTTAATTTAATTATGGTAATGGTGTAATACTGAAAGTGTTAATAACAGTAATGATTCGTTCGTTTATGCGAACCAATGATGCCTGAATGAATACATTCAGAATTATATTTAGTACTGGCGAATTCACTACCTGAGTTGTTTGTGCTTTTAATTAATTCAACTCTTGAAACCGTAATGAGATATGGACATTTATCAGAGGCAGAATTCTGGTCACTTGGGGTATAAAACAACATGTATGTACTCCTTTAAATATTTATTCTTTATTGCTTGAATAAATTATAAAATTTATGACACACACATTTGAATAAATATTTGTCTAAAAGGTTGTGTAAATACAAGACGTTAGTTGTTAAAAACGATTCATACAAAACAGTGCAAATGTGATTTGGACGAAGGTACGAGAAGGTACTTTGTTCGAAGCATAGATACCATTCACACACAGAATGATGGCCATTATTACTTATTTGCATAGGATCAGCCCATTTTCTGTACATAGGCAGCTTCTAAACAACTTTTGGGAACAGACTCCTAAAACTCAATTATTACTGCTTTCACATCGTAAGCTACGGTGTACAGATCTGAAATAATTTAAGACGTCACGTCTTCACAACTGTATTCTTCCGGACTGGAGAAACTCGCAGAATTGTTGCCTGTCCTAACGAACACACTGTAAGAAAACATACAAAAATATTATTGCATCATGTCCACAGAAAACTTATTTCTGGCACGACAGTCACAAAGCTTATAAATGAGAGGGTGAGCGTCTGTATAACAATATTTGTCCTTCCACTACATTGTTGGATCAACTGAACACACACGACTGCAATTCTGTGGGCCTTTTTGCTGTTGAAAGTCTCTGACAGGTTGCTGTTGACGATGTTTTACATCATTTTGTAGTTGATCTCTAGCCCAGGAAACTGACACTGATAAGAAATTAATATTCTGATTTCCTTGTGAATGAGTGAAAATTTCGTCACTGAGACTCATTGAAATTAGATGAAAATTTTCAGAAAATTTGTTACATTAGTGATATGTTGTTTTGCAAAAGACTAATTTTCACACCTACAGTATTCAAAAAACATTTTAAGTGCAAATTTCATTTTGATTTTAGAACATGTTGGGCATTTTGGAACATTTTGGAAGGTTAGATATTGATTCCAAAATGTTGAAGAAATAACACTGAGGGAGTCCCCGAACTGGAGCCACGTGGTCGTCTCTCGGCAGGAACTTCGCGTGGACGTGGGGCTCCGTGACGTCACGTTGATGAGGGCAGACTTCTCCCTCGGTGGTGCTGGGGGCAGCGTGGTCCGTCGCCGCCGCCGCTGCCGCCGCTGTCAGGGGAGCCGGGGGCGAGTGCGTCACCGCATGACGTTGTTCGTGACGCATGCCTCCGCCCCGGGGGCGTCCGTCAGCCCCGCCCCGCGGGCGAGCGGGCGATCGGGCGGCGGGACGTATCGACCGCACTCAGCGACCTCAGTGAACAGCTGGGCACCCTGCAACACATGCGTACGCTCATGAGGACCCATACTCGTATGAGTACTCACATGCTCGCATGAGCACTCACATGCTCGCATGAACACTCACATGCTCGCATGAGCACTCACATGCTCGCATGAGCACTCACATGCTCGCATGAGCACTCACATGCTCGCATGAGCACACTTGTCCACACTCATGAGCGCACATGGGCGTACGGGCAGCTTTTAAATATTTGTTTCCATTAAAATTAATTTGATACGTCTCAATACTGTAGTCGGTTAGAACAACTTTGGAAACTTCAGTGCTAATGTGTGAGAATCCCGCGTTAAGATTGGGAGGGTGTTAACTTTTATTTCTGGAAGACAAATCATCATGTAAGCCAAATTTTATTTATGTGTTATGTAATTTTTTGTACTCGACAAGTTCAAGTTCTCCGTCAAAGCTGTAACATCAGAAGCTGAAAAAAAGAGAAATGGGAGGAGTTGAAAAATAAAAATTAGAAAAAAAAAATAATGAAGGAGAGGAAGAAAGAGACTTTTCTGTATTAAGGAGCCCTCAAAAACCTACCAAATATTTCAATCATCTTCGTGGTAATTACCAAACTATATTTCTTGTCTTATATAGGTAAAACTTACATTTCTTGTGGGTTTTCTCAATTTTCCTCTGAGATATTGCCATTTTCTGAAGTTTTCCCCCAAAATCAATACACAATAAAATTGCGTACAGCGCACTCTGTAAAAATGCAGTTTCAGTGTCAGCTTCTTTCCATGATAGAATCGGGGCAGCGATTGCTTCAGGAAACAAATTCCTGAGTACATGACTCAACTAAAGGGGTTAAAGAATTCGGCATGGTCAGCATATTAGCCATTTGTTTCAGTTGAGTCACCGAGAGAGCAATAAAGGAAATACTGACGATGCTCAGATGCGTGCGTGCGTAAGGAGAATGCGAGGGGAGACGCATCAAACCATTTCTCTTCTCCCGTTGGAGAAGAGAGTACTGAAGCGTCCAAACTGTCTCTACAGTAAATCATGCAACTTCCCCGGTCCCAATGCTCAGTGGCAATATTTCTACCAATGAAGTATTGTTCACTCGAAGGTTCTGAGGTTCGAATCCTGGCGGTGGTTGATTTTCGACCCTACCTACACAGCTGGTTCCAATTCAACGGCTGGAGGAGCATTCCATTGGCCAGCTGCTCTAATAGGTACTCAATTTTTGCGTTGTTTCTTCATTAAATACAGACTGATTATGGAGCAGTACTCTAACAAAAAGCCGATCACGGACTGCGCGCGAAATTTCATTTTTCTTCATTCCTCCTCCTTCTTACACGTGTTGAAGTAAAGTACATCAAATGTTGAAGTGCCCGAAATACGCACGCACCCATTTGAACATGTCAAACTCGAAGGATAAGACGAGTCAAATGAAGTCTAAGGTAACGGGGAACACAAAGTAGATATTGTTCTAGAAACATAAATATCTCAAATAGCAAAATTAACAAGGAACGCACTAAATTAATTGTTTTTAAAAAAATGTAATTAAAAACAAAAGGATGTTCACTAAAGTAATTTAAAAATCGAACCGACTGTCTCGTTAACGTTGATACATAAATAGACAAAACCTTCTACCAAAGATGAATGCAATTAGTAATGTCAAATGAAATATTTTGTCTTGTTAAAGATAGTTTCACTTTAATGTCCCGCTTCATTACGCCTGGTCAACTTCAATAAAAGTACGCTACGAAGTGTCATTACAACTTTTGTTAGACAAATATTTTTATTTCCGATTCAAGAAGTCAGTCTGTTATACACAATCAAACGTATTTAAGGCATGAAACATTTCGTCTGTACATTATACGAAGGTATCATCAATATTTAAAAAATCTCTCTAAATATGCAAACACAATCCTAGCTACCCAAAATTATAACAAATAAAACTCCTATCTCTAAAACTACACATTAATTATTTACATTCAATCTTTAAAATATGAGAGGCGTCATTTACAAGACAAAACTTTTCTGAATGTGACTATCATAATGTTTAATACAAATAATATGTATATATTTTCATGTTTATATTTGACATACAGTCCATTCGTTGTTGCTGTTGAATTTATTGTTAAGTTGTGTGGTTGTTTTGTTGTAGTTCTAGTTGCACAGTTGTTTTGGCTGGGATTTTCCTAGTGAGCTTCATGGGACTTTAGAGCCTCCAAATGGACATCTTGCTCCACTACATCTGTTGCAGCTCTAATATTGGGAATATCCTCTACCTTTTCTAACAATTTTCTTCCCCCGTTACGGTCGCCGTTAATATTCGCCAGCTTATTGCCTTTTAAAAATGATAAATATTCTGACAAGGAAGCACCGGATCATTAATGATGCAGTTTATTGTTTAGAGTTCTGAGGGGAGAATTATGTGACGTCGTAAAAGGAAAAAAAGAAAAAAAAACGGAAATGTGGTAGTAATACTGATGTACATTCATGAAGAGGTGGGAAATAGTTCACTATGTAAGTATTTTGCTCTCTGAAGTTTAGTACACTCATGGTAAACAGGATTAGAACTTTATAAACCTAAATGTTATATACCTATTTATAAACCTAAGGTTAGGCCCGATTTTCTTCGCCTGCAGTATGTTATGCTTCTTCAAAACTATACAAATAGCATAAAAGCCTAGTTAGTATTAGTATTTAAGATTGTAACTTTAGATACTATATGTCTTTATTTTAATTTGTTTAGTAATATGTTATTAAAATTGATTATATATTAACGTTCAACATGTCATGTGTGTAATCTACCGTTAAAGTAGTGGCATTTCCTAGACATTTCCCTAAAAAAGTCTTGAAGAGTTGGATAACAAATTTCTAATTCCTCATTAACTTAAAAAATGTCGGTGAGTGAAAACGTTAATAACTCATCTTTTATTTCCAACATCTGAGCATTGTCTTCTAATATGAGAACGAGTAATAACAATGACTGTGTAGTTCTATAGAAAATAAACATTCAAAAACTGAAGTACCTAAAAATATTTTTTAAGAATTGTCAATTTAGTTCGCACAAATGAATATCTTCGAGATGAAATGCTGTACAGATTTTGGGTAATGATGTTAATCATTAGAAAATCTTTTGTGTAATATCTCGCTATCAGGAAGTAATTATAACAGAATTCACAAATGCAAAAAAATGGATGTAAACAGATCTCTTGTGGAGGACACACACACACACACACACACACACCACACACACCACACACACCACAGACACTCCACCGCACACACGCACGCACAGACACACACACACACACACACACTCCACCGCACACACGCACGAACACACACACACACTCCACCGCACACACACACACACACACACACACTCCACCGCACACACACACACACTCCATCGCGCACACACGCACTCCACCGCCCGCACACACACGCACTCCACCACACACGCATACACGCACTCCACCACACACGCACACACGCACTCCACCACACACGCACACACGCACTCCACCACACACGCACAGACACACACTTCACCACACACGCACACACACACACCAACACACACACACACACACACTCCAACACGCACACACACACTCCAACACGCACACACACACACTCCACCACACACGCACACACACTCCACCGCACACACACTCACACACTACCAGTTCACTGTTAAGCGGCTAATTGCGCCGTGACATAGCTCCGGTTCGGCAACTCCTTGTACATTGCTGCTGAGCGGGTTGCGAAATCCAGGGGCGGTGTGCAAGGCCTGAACAATCGATTCTCAACTTCGGTCAGAGTATACGGAATGCAAGTCCGCGAGGAATTCCACAGTTTTTGAGCTAGAGTCTCACCTTCCAATGCCAGTGTTCCCAACCAATCCTTGAATCACGAGTTCGTGGAATACTTCCGGAGGAATGTGGGAGATTTCGGTTGCAATTAGATCAACGGATCGTAAAAGGATCGGAAAGAAGAATTCTTCATACTTCAGTTCAGTAGATCACTTAAGGATTAAGTGACAAAAAACATACTCACATACATACATTTAAAAACTGGCATAATTTTTCATCACATGTCATCATTTGCATAATTTTGTAACACACATTTTCTTGAAAACAAAAATATGTTTATGCCAAATTATTATTTTTTAGATATGAACAATATCAATTGTTGGATGAAAACAGGGAGCCTAACCAGGTTGTCCACATTTACTCAGTTACGACGATGTGATCATCGCAGATTTGGTTGTTTTAAAGAGAAGACAACGTCCGAGCAAAGTGATGGAAGATTAAAGAGTGTGTTTTGCGTTGAAAAAGATAATTCATTATGTTGAGAAATTACATTTTTTCTTTTTCTCTGATACTTTCACCGTACCAGCTATGTATCATATTCTTTTACTTTATTTTAAACAATCGTAAGTAGAGGAAAATTAGGCAGACTACCATTCTAAAAATAGATAAAACAAATGGAAGTGCACTTTCCAGGGCACCTCTATTCTGGGAGTTTCTGAGTAAATTACTCACAGTACAAGTAGTTTAGAAAACCACTGACGTTACTGACTGACGTACTGACATTAATATCAGCCGGTTATGTTTTCATCTACTAGTATATTTAATTTAATATTTCAAACTAATGGCATGTTCTCCAACTACGATGAAACCCAATTAAATAAAAAAGCAAGTGTAATTCTTATTCTTTCAAAAAGGTATATGTTGGAAAACTAATTGAACTCACGATAACATGAAGTTTAAGACACAATTGTTTTGGCTAGTTAATTTTGTGATAACCAAATCATTTGCAAATGTTCTATTCAAAAATGTGTTTTAAATCAACGTATACGGTATTTTTAAAGAAGTCCAAAAGATAATAATTGGAACCGATGTTTTGAAGAAACCAATGTTAATAAAAACCGGTTAACGCTTCAAAAATGTACGAAGGTTGGGGTAAAAGTCATGGCAACAATTTTTGTCGAGCTCTGCTTGAAACACATTGCATTCATCTCGCACGGCGGGAACTGATTTCACGTTGCTTTCTGTGCTATTAATGACGATCACACGGCTATCTGTTGATGTGAACACCCCCTACTGCAGCAATTATTTAAACATACAAATGAAATTGTACGTCTCGATTACAGTTCTTTTAGAAAACAAATAGTTATCATGTCTTCTGTCCCAACCCTCGTGTAACGTCAAAAACGAAAAGAAACCAGTGTATTTTTATTCTGCTCGCATAATGACATGAAACAAAGCACTAGAGATTCCGATTCCAAGCAGGGCTGACCGGCATCGTGACGGCATATGCTATCCTGGCTGCTGGCCGTGGAACCGGAGTTTTTTAGGATTTTGGGTCCAAGCGTGGGCCAGCCACTTGCTGCGTGACAAGCGTGGAGCAACGTTGCAGGCCCTTCTGTCATTTATCTCTTTTTCCTTTCTGTGCTATTTTTCGGTTAGTTTTCCTCCTCTATGTATAGGTTTTCCTTTTTCTTTCCGCTTTTCACTTCCTCTTTTCTTCTTCTCGTCTTATTTTTCATCTCTCTCTGTTTCTTTTATCGGCATCTCTCGCTCTCCCTGCTTCTTCTTTCTGCCTTCTTTCTCTCTCGGTATTTTTTATCCTTTTCCCTCCTTTTATCTCTGGAACGTGAGGAAACTTCGGATGCCCTCCGCATCCTTTCGTGGCGTTGGGAACGTTTTGCGACCTTTGTAGCAGTGATGGAGGAGTTTCCTTTGCGACGTATACTCGAAGGAGAAAGCGTTTTGTTTCTTTATGAATCACGTTCCGTGTGTTTACAATGCTGTCCTGTGTGAAGAGGGATTTATTCAACTTCCAGGGCCCTAAATGCCGGTTTCTGGGTCATTGCGTTTCGGGTGGCGTTGAAATGTATTCTATGGAACATAGCAACCCGGATTTTTAAGTTGATGTCTGAAATCAGTATTTACTTTCATTTGATTAACACAGTATTACATTATTGTGAAGTCTATAGAAGAGGAATTACAGTTGAATTTTTCCTAGTACAAATGGATCGGTTTTCTTTAAAGAAGTAAAACGCAGGGTAATCACCAACACGCTTCTTCTTGATCATTTTCAGTGTTGGAAGAAAATTAATTCTCATTATGTTGAAAAATCATTTTTGGGAGGAGAAAAGCCTTTACCATAGTAATGGATGTTATATTCTGTTTTAGACGTCACCAATTGACATGAGTGTGTGGTAATTTGTATCTGTGTGAAGTTGTTAAGATTAAGTACGTGAGGATATCAAATATCCTCGAAAGTGCACATGTAATCTTAAGTCACTACTGTTTTTAGTTGTTTTGAAGAAAAATTAAAATTTAAAAATTTTATTTCTTTGCAATTAAATGCCTACTTCTTTTTTAGAAAAACGTATATCGATCGCTTCCTTTCCTTTTTAATCTTGTGTTACGGATAGAGATCAACTTAGAAATACTTGAGATTTCTCTGCATGGGGATAATGGTGAGAATGAATTTTATCAGGGCATTTGCATGAAATTCACGAACTCATTGAAGAAAAAGCACTAAATCCAAAATAATGCCTAAAATATAATCCCCTCCATTACCTGACCACAAGTTTGAAGATATATAGGAACATAAATTTTTGAAAATGTGCTTAAAGTACTTTGGCAAGCTAACTGTATACGGAATTCTCAGTAACTAATTTTCTATTTGGACGGTGTTTGTAGAATCTGTCGATTAAAATTTTACAACTTCAAGCAAGTTTAATGACGAAGTTACTGTCTTACGCTAAGTTTTAATATATGACCTATTATTCTCTGGGTTTGGAAGGTGAACGTGTAATGCCTCCGAATAAAGTTGGACCTAAAAATAATTTGGCTGAAGGAGTTATGAGTCCTAAAACAAAGTACAGTTTCAAGACGTTTCTTGAAATGCGTGTTTAAATGAAGGAAAGTTGGAAACCGTGAGGCCCGGAATTCATGCAACACGCGTTAAAAAGTTTGTAAATTCTTCAGTGGAGAGGAAATTGAGGAAATTTTCCGACGTCTGCTTCCCCGACAGACGTGCTTTCTTTTGAGTTTGGACTACAAAGGTAGCGCTTGCATCTCATGCGGACAACTTTTTCGAGGCTAATAGGCACACGAATTTCATTACATGATGGTGACCAAAAAAGGACGATTTTGTCAGTTAAGCCATAATAGAGAATAACCAGATGATTACCAGGCGTTTCATGAAAATGTATTAACCATAATTATCTATTAAGCAGCCCCAAATACCTTTCTTTTCCGGTTCCACCTGCCTTCTTTCCCTGTCGCGGCCTCTTTTTTACCCGCTCTATTCTTTTCTCGTTCTTCTCTCTTCTCTTGCTCCGCTCTCTTTCGCCCTTCTTTTCTCACCCCGTTCTCTTTCCCCGTTCCGCCCTCTTTCCCCGCCTTTTCTGCCCGCTCCTCCTCCCTCGATCTCTCTCGTCAGTTCCACCCTCCTCCGCTGCCACTCCTCTCTTGTTCCCCCTCACACTCCACCCGTCCTCCCTTCCACGTACTCTCCCTGTCCAGCCCGTTTCTCCAGCCTCGCCTCGCATCCACTGGCAACAATGATGATTATGGATTGCATAAAAGTTTCAGAAAGGACATTTTCAGGTAACATTTTGAATTCTATGATTTTTTTCAAAAGTATTCGTCCGGTACCAATCTCTTTAGTAGTTCAAATTTGTGTTACATACATTTAGTAACATTTACTGTTATGCAGGTGATCCTTACTTATTCTATCAAAAAACTCTAGTCGACTCTTATCGTTACCTCACGAATTTTCTTGATTTATGTTTTCGTCAGTAAACAAATTTCGTGTTCGATAAAAATATTTCCTTGCTACTTTCGAAAGCGTTTGTAATTCAAATATTCCGATATTAAAGGGCACACACGCTGCTTTGAAGGTTTGGGGAGACAATGTGGGTCTAATTATAAAATTATTTAATCGCTGTATTGGTAGTTTATTATAGAGAGATTCGGCATTTCTATCGCCTTCTTTTTTCGACTTCTCTCGCACCGCCATCCTCGCCCGATGCTAATCACTAGGGGGAGGGGAGTTTGATGACTTAAACGCTGCCAAAAATGATCAATTAAATGCTTTCCGTAAAAACAAAGAAAAATTACGTTAAAAATTGATCAAAAACCTTGAGATGAACAACCCAACATTTGATGCATCTTGTAAATATTGTTTGAAGCAAGTACCATTGAAATGATATTAAAATTGATGAAATCTGCGAAAATGCATAAAAATGACGTAAGAAGGTAAAAATTCCTTATTAGTCAAAATCGACTAAAAATGAAAAAAAAAAAAAAAAAAAGAGTAATTTCGTTTTGTGATACCGTAAAGTGAATTTCTATACTAAACGGAATTGTTCTAAAGTGAAAAGAAGAAAAAAAAGACATTTCATTAAAACGCCCCCTACTTTTCACTCTGTTGGGAACGTGAACTCAGCGGAGGCTGGCGGAGGCTCGCGCGTTGCCACCGATAGAGCGCGCGGGAGAGCGGCGGGATGGCGTACTATAGTGCTGGCGACGTCCGCCAGGTGGGGCCGCAGGAGCGACGACCCCGCGCGCGCTCTAGCGTCGCCACCGACCACCACGCGACGGCGTCTGCAGCGGCAGCCCCTCGGATGTCAGCAACGTAAGCGATCCCCTTGATAAGATACTGTCTGCAGAGCGTGACCGAGACTTGATGAGAAGGAATTACTCGGGGGAGGGACCTAGCCTAGAAAATTTTAGAGTGTAAATTTCATATGACGTATTGACCATAAGCGGAGTTTGATATTTTGTTATAAACTGCATATTAAAATATGTGAATGGATAAAATTTGCGAAAAATTAGAAAATTTTGTAGGGGCCCAAAAATATGTGTCAAGAAAAGCAAAAAAGATGTGAAAAAATACCACAAAACTTATGATTGATTGCAAATTCGCATGCTCGCGAGTTCAGTCAGATGGATCGAGAAATAAATACATATTGATAAAAATACTGTATATGGTACAGGCGCTAGTGATGTTCGCAAACACCACCCGCTAACCCGATTATCAGCTCCAATACACATTTTAATCTAGTGAATGCGCATTGCAGACACTTTAAATTGTAGTATTAGAAAGGCTTATATTCCTTCTGTGTTTTCTGCTCTTAAGGTGAGCAGACTTACTCTCATGGGCCCCAAACGTAATCACAGAGCTTACCAGAAGCATTCTTTGAACTTCATTTAATACAAACTGCAGTCAAATGGATTAGAATAGTAAATATTTCTCTTCAATACATGTGTATTTGCCAAAATCTAAATAAATTACTTATTAAAATATGTAAGTATCTGCAGATACTAACTGGTCAAAATACGTAAAAATCTGCGCAAAATCAGTTACGGTGTAGTGTTAATCTTATTGTTTTTTCGTTTCTTATATTCATTCTTTCTTTTATTAATGGAATCGTGCTTCTAATCTATACGAATTAATTTAAGAACGAACAGTCGAGAGGCATCTGTTTGTGTAATGTCAATCTCTGCAAGCAGAAGACTACTTTGCCCTTTAGTAAAAATATACAATGCGCCTGCTTCATGCAAATATTGAAGAATGAGACGCTGTGAACGAAGAGTGTGTTTAAAAACAAGATGGTACTTCGAAAATGATCCTGAGAGCAAGCTTTTTGAAAACATCAATATTATCGTGCTTACGAAGCAAATTCCGGAGGTATTTCTTTGATGTTTCTCTTCTTTTGTGGACATTTTTTGGCTACATTATACGTACTTTGGGTCATTTGCAGCTGCAATACTTACGGCATTTATTTCCTGTTTCCAACTTCTAGTTCGTCGGTTAAATATTTTTCGTTGATTCTCTTTGACACCATAACACGTTCTTTTTTTCTTTCTTTCTTATTCCATACGCATGTAATATTTGTTGATCTAGTTTATGTTAGTTTATAGAGTGGGTTTTGACCATACCTTTTAAAATCGAATGATTTTTTTACAATATGATATGCAAGAACAGAACAAATAAAACACTTTATTGAAACTACCTAAATGTAAACTTACAGGAAACATTCACGACTTTTTATTATGACTGTTTTTATTTTTAATTTCATATGCGAATATTCGAATCACTCGTCCCCTTCGTATCTATATTCATTCTTTGATTAATTAAGTTTCATAAACATATTTGCGTCATTCACGATTAATATATTTCTGAACAATGTAAATTTATAACCTCTTCTAGAATCAAATTTGAATTATTGTTTACTATTATCATTGTCATTGTTATATTTTCATTACAAAAACATTTCTTCAAAAATCATATGTTTATATTTCAGAAGTTGATAAAGGATGTAATTTCATGTAATCATATTACAAATATGTTCCAAGACTTTTGAAGGAAGAAGTTGGCCCTTTTAAGTAAAAAAAACTGTTTTTGACAATGTCCCGTTACAATAGTGCATGTTAAATATCTGTCCGCTTCATGATTCAAACATCAGGCTTGATGTTTGCGAAATTGGGTAACTGTGCGCAATGAGCAGTACCAGCGGAGACAGGAACCTACTGCGTAGTTTAAGTAACGGTGCCCAAGCGTCTTGACTTCTTCAATATTCAACGCACGGGATGAACTGATCTCAAGAATGGGAGTTCGGCGGAAGGTTCTCATACGACTTCATGAAGAAGCAAGCCAGAATTGATCGGATTTTTTTTTAGGAGTTTTAGTCTCTACTCGACTCGTGGCAGGCAAACTTTTCGTATTTGAAGAGGAGCTCATATTTGTTAAAATGTTGAAAGGCAAAGTGAGATGGGCAGAGCGACGAATCGCGGTACTTCTACTTTCAAAGAGTTTTTGAAAGCTTTTAATAATGAATTAGAAAAGTTGTGCATAGAAGAACGTTTTAAAATTTTATTTCCAGTACAAAGAGAATCACAGAGCCGGTATCTCCGAGATTAATATATAACATTCTCTAGAGATGAATTGGGATCGTTAAACTTGCTCATGTAGTAGTATACGCGTGAAAGTTTCGTGGGCTTATTGTACGTAACTCATTCGCAAAGTACCTCTAGTTAATATTTCCCTTACGCATCTACATTGATTAAGTGCAACATTGGCAACATTCATCTTGCCGTGCAGACTCACACGTGCTGGTTTTAATTAAGAAATCTATTCTGCGAAGTGCAGAGCAGAGAGCGAACCATCTGTTTTCCTGCAACGCACTGCTTCAGGTCTTACGACACGTGTGTAATATTGCGCGTAATGGCTGTGAAGATGAAGTTTCTTTTATTGAAGTACTTAGCAACCTTTCGTTATGTGAAATTGACGAAGATTTTAAATTAATAAAGTGCATAAAAATGTCTTCAGTGTTAATCTTCATTTCTCATTTCAATATTGCCTACTAAACAAAGCTTATTTATCGTCATTTGAACGTATTTTCTTGTATATTCTTTCAATTCTTTTATTGCTCTTTTCTTTATATTGCATATTTCACCTCTTAAAGCAATTGACGATCGTGTACATTACTCATGTCGCTTGTTTCTATTACCTATATCAACAATTACTGGTATAATTACGTATTTTTTTACTTTTCCCCTTGCCTCAAAATGAGGGAAATCGTCAACTGAGTTTTCATTTTGTGAATGAGAATTTATACAGAGACGTTATAGGTAGGTAGTTAAAGGATGCAATCAATCGGACTAATATATATCGATCCTGCGAATTGCATGATCCATGAACAATTAGTGCTGACTATAGATATACCCCACCTCAAAACAGTCAACCGACCAAGCAAATGCGCGGTCTATTCTCGAGCTCAGAGTGCCCTTTAGCCCGTACGTACTGCTGGTCTAATCACTCTGTGCATTTGTGTATAAAAAGATGAGTTGAATTCCTTCCATTATCCCTACAGCTCTCGCACACATGTCGGGAGTTTAGAGCTTGTTCCGTGCGGTGCCAACATGTATCTGGAGAGTTCTTTCAACCGCACGAGTAGGTCGGCACAGCATCTCGTATTCAAGCGGAATATCAGACCTCTTCGTCCTGAGATGTGACATGTACTACACTTACAGTGCTTAAGTAGATGACACGCCTTGCATCAGCAAACACTCACCCACCCACTTATTCAAAGGGGATGAAATATTTGTGGATGAGTACATAAAAAGGACGGCCGAGGTGCCGGCATGGTGCGCCGAGAAGAGACGGAGTGGCGGCGACCGCAGCGTCCGTGCATGCGCAAATCCACTTCTCGACTGCGGAAGCTCCGCAGGGTGTGGCTGCGCGCAGTGGTCGGGCTGTCCTTTGCTGTGCCGTCTATTTCAACCCCCTCGCAACCGCTCCAAAAATTGCTTGAGTACACCGGTCAATCTTTCACTTGTTAAATGTATTTTTTTTTGTTTTATTTACTTGGGAACAATGTTTGTGATTCGGGAGTGAGTAAATGTAAATGATCTCAGATGTTAAATATTTATGTCTACTGAGTAACCAAAGAGAGATGATTAGTGAAATATTCAAACATAAACTTTATTTATAGCTCAACTTAACCCACTAATAGATTAATAATTATTATTTTCGTGCTGTTTGATATAAGTTTGACCATGAAATCCAAAACCAAATTGCTACACACATTTCCAAAGTTGATTATACTCGTTCATGTTTGTTTTATGTTTTGTACATTTTAATGTTTACAACTGCCAAATTTCAAATCATTATTTCAGTACAAACTACAAATGAGTAGTGTTAAGTCAAACTTAAAAATACTCTTAAAACTACTAACAAGATTTATTTCGTTAAATCGGCTAATGTTCACTATACCTAAAATATTAGTTGCGACTTTCGCAACCAGATTACCAAAATCAACAATATCCCACCCCAATATATCACTAGCAACCAACAACTTTTCATAGAACAAATGTAATAAAATATATAGATCTTAATCAACACGCACATGACACAGAAAACAGGAAAATGCTTACTTATATTTGCAAAATTTAACGTGGATCTAAGCACTTTAGTTTGAGACAATTTTCGCTTTCTCCCATTTTCGATTTTTTATTATATACGGTACTTCTCACATGACATTTATTAATTGCTTATGCCGGAAAAAAACAACAACAACAGGGAATAAAATTGCTTTCACTAAATTGCTTCGAATCCAGAGTTTTCTCTTGTAACATTAGAGAAAATGTCTTCGTGCATCTCGTAAATGAAAGGAACATAAAACAAGCCTTTGACGTCGTCGTGGTGGGCCACTCCCCGCCACTGGCCACAGTTGGCGCCGACGCGGAGACCCATGCATCGCCCGGCGGAGGACGAGGTCGGCGCGTCCGCGGGAGAAGCCAACGACGTGAAGGGTCATCGTCTTGGCAGCTGAGGACGGCTCCCCCGCCACCCGTCCCCGTCCCCGCCCCCGCCACGCCCGTCGCCACCACTCCATCCCTGTCCCGCCCTCACCATCACCCTTACTCTGCCTCTCTCTGGCGTTTCTCTGTCCCTCCCCAGGCGCGCTGCTCCGCTCCGAAACGTACCCCGTCTCCGCTCCTCCCGATATTCCGCTTTCATCATGCCTCGCCTTCTCGCCCTTCGCCTCTCCTGCCCCCTCCCACACAACGAACTGCCCTTGCGCTTACCCCGTCCCCGCTTTCTCATCACATCCGCTTCCCCGGTCACGTCTTCCCGTACTCGCCCACCCTCGGTCCCCTCCCTGCACAGCTGCCCCTGCCCTGCCTCGCCCTTCCCCCTACCTTCCCCCGCCCTTCCTGCCCTCCCCCGCCCTACCACAACCTCTTTCCCTCTAGAACTGCCCACCCGCACCTCAATCCCCGAACTGTCACCCCCCCCCACAACCCCCCCAAACCCCCCTTATGCAGTTACTCCGTCTCCGCTCTCTCTCTCTCTCTCCCCAAATCCGCCTTCCTGAACTCGCTTCCACACTACAACTGCCCTTACCCCAACTCCACCCACTGCCCTCCGTTTGCACTTACCCCGTTTCCGGTCAGCTCCTGCTTCGTTCTTTCCCGCCTTGCCCGCACCCTAACTCCCAACTCCTCCTGCCCCTGCCATGCCCCGCCCCCCACACCCACTTCTTTGTTAGCTCTAGCCATCGTTGGCCCTGTTCACCCAGGCCCCTTCCTCGCTCTCGCTACTCTGCACCACCTCTGCTGTCTCCCTCCGCACCACAGTCTCCATCGCCTTTGCCCACCCCGACCCCCGTCCTTACTGTCGCTCGCCGCCGCTGCCGCCCAGTCCCCGCTCCAGCGTCCTCCGCTCGTCTCCATCGCCGCATCCCACCCGACACCGCCGCTCCTTCGCCAACAGTCTCCTCTGACGACGCCCCGCATCCATCGTCCTGCCCCGAGCAGGATGTTTCGTGTGCGATTCTGCCTCGCTTACTTCGCGGTCTCGAATGAAAGAATGTTCCTATGATAACCTCGCCTGAGAATATACTCGTGTACACGAGCAGCAAACAACTACAAGTTGTTGAGAAACATGTAGATTTGCATAATTAAAACTTTTGTGAAATTATAAATTAGGAGGAAAGGGTGGGGAATAATTTAATAAATAAATTACTAACTTGGTGAAAGTCAACTTTCGGGAAACTAACATAACAGCCATGTTTTCTTATTTTATATCTGTGTTTTGTATCGCGTATAAATTACATCCACCTTCAGTCCTCTCCAACGCTTTTATTCATTCCTCTCTTGGTCATAATCACAATGAAATGTAATTATGTTTTTTCTTAGCAGTTATTTCAGAACTTATGCTCCTGCGCCAATTTCTCGAAAGTGTAAGAATATACTTTGAGAAGTTCTACTTTTGTCTTCTCCGAGGGTAAATCCTTCGAGTCTGTGATAGTCATCCTTCATATTACTCCTAATTCCCACAGTATCTCGCTTTCAAAATTTAATATTGGATTAACTATGGATGCATAGTATCGATCAATGGATATTGTGTTATTTATAAATGCAATATCTTTTTCACAATCATTTAAATATATTTCCTAATTTCCGGTGTTGTCGTATTTCGGCCCACTTCTAAAAGATACAGCCCTGTTGTGCTTTTCAATTAGATCAGAAAGCTTTTAAGCTCGTTCATCGCGTTCGAGGGAGGGCTCCCGCCGACGGATATTTTTTTTCTGTATTTAAAACCACGTTTCCCGCTAACGAACTGAATTAAAATACCGCTACATTAATCAAATAACTTCATCGACTGCTGCTCCCAGCCGCGCAGGCCGCTCTTCCCATTTCCCCCGCCGCCGGACGCGCTCTCTCGCGGGAGCCTCCTTCGCCCCCGAACGGCGGCGTGGGCGAGAGGAGAAGAGAAGGGAGCGCTACATTTATTGGTTCGGCACCGTCATCTATCCTTTTTTCCATGATTTTTCGGGGGGACATGTTTTTTTTACTAATTATCCTCATCTGGGGGTAAGGGAAACATGAAACAAACATGGCGTATTCCCATTACCGTACCTAACTTATTTGGCCTGCCTATGCTTTCGTTCGTCACAAAGTACAGAAACTGAATGGATTTAAATTAGAATGCTACAGCTTTATTTTTGCACCCGCCGGGAATCGAACGCGGGACCGCCTCAGAAAGCTAGACCACTACTCATGAGCCCCCCCCCCCCCGAGGCGCGCGTATAAGAAATTAATTAAGAAGAAATACTGATTTAAGAAGATTTAAGAAATTAATTAAGAAGAAAATGCGTTGGAAATGTTGCGCGGGATGAACACAAGAATGTCTCGTGTTAATCCCGAAGGCCGAAAGTCGGAGCTTCGCCGTGGGTTTGGAAATGCGCGAGCGTAGAGAATGAAATTGGCTGTTCTACATTGGCGATATTTTTGTAAGACTTACTTCGTTCAACCACCTGAATACGTACGCATTTCTGCAACTCCACTCACTGCACCAAATAGTTCACATTACTCTATTTTCTTAGCTATTTGTAAAGAAAATTCTCGCCACCCAGAATGGGCAAAAGATGTTTCGTGTTAATCGCGGAAATAGAAAGTCGAAGCTTTGCTGTGTGTTTGGAAATGCGCGAGAGAAGCAAATCAAATTGCCCATTCCACATTGGCGATATTTTTGTAAAGCTTACGTCTCTCAAATACCTTACCACAAACAGATTTCTGAATCATCGCTAATTTTATCACGCCATCTATATATGTTTCATTTATTAATTTTCGTTAGCTCTTTGAATGAAACATAAGCGTCACCCGGGCGAATTCAAATGAACATTACAAAGCTGCATTTTACCTATTCGTAATTGTACGTATTTTAATATTAGGCACGTAATTTAGGAATGGTCTTTCATGTACTTCCACAGTTGTAGTAAAAAGACTCTGTTTTGATAAACGCTTGTAAGTAAAAAATATATTTTTCCACCCTGTCGACGTATCTACTTCCACCCTCTTGGTAATCTGTACCCTCTCTTCAAGCACTATCACTACCTCCAGTTATTTCCTAGCGGCAAACCCACCCTACATTGAACACTTTGTCTCGATATATATTAAGGTGCACTTTTCCTCCATTCCGCTCTGCGTCGCGTTTGTTTTATTTTCCAAGGAGCAAGAAGCAATCCAAGACCACCCCGAGCGACACAAGCTACGGCTAGTCTTTGCCTTCGCTCTTTTTCCCCGGCCGACCGCGTTCGCTCGCGGAAGATTCCTCGGTGCCCGAGTCGAGGCTATGAGGAGCTGGGAGCAAGGAGATAAGTAGAGGGAGATTTTAATGGAAAGTCGTTTTTTTATTTTTACTTTAGAACAATGCCGTTTAGAATATACATTCATTTTATGTTCTAACAAAAAGGAAATACCATTTTTTACGTAATTTTTTGTCTATTTCGGTTAATAAGTCATTTTTTACCTTTTAACGTAAGTTTTATTGCATTTTTCACTCATTTCATCGATTTTAATATCATTTTAATGGTATTTACTTCAAACAATAATTACAAGGTGCAACAATGATGACCACATAATTCCCGAGTAGCCTATTCGATTTCTTCGCTCATATATTGTGATGTCAGCCATTGTGAGTACTATGTAATCTAAGGTTCCTGTGACGCTTATATGCGCCATTGTCAGTTCTGCCGATTTCGCGAAGATTTTCTTTTAAAGAAGAGTCCACACCCAAAGTTTGCAAGATAAGTTCTCTTGAATAAAAGGAAGATGCCTCTATTACATCAGTCTCAAATCCAGCAGCTTGAGTTGTTCATCTGAAGTGGTTTTGTAAAATTATTAACGTCAGTTTGCTTTGTTGTTAGGGCATTTTAAAAGTGTTTTCAGAAAATTTTATTGATCATTTTTAGAAATGATTTAGGCCATCAAAGTCCGTTCTCTAGAGATAAGCATTTCTAGGCGGCAGCACCCAGGGTGGACGAGTGAGAGGAAATCTAGTTGATTTTGAATCCATTCTGGCCAAATCTCAATGACCAACTAATTGACTTCTTAGACTGGTCTACACTGACATTAGTGAATCATTATCTCTCCATTGTTAAATATAATTGAAAAATTCTCTAAGTCACACCTAGATCCTGGTTAAACATTATTTCGGGGAACGATAATCTTCAATCCCAGCTGTCGCTCTTTCCCTATGCGCTTTCCCTATGACGTATTCTCCCTACAACAGAATAGTGATCGTAATAAAGTGGTTCAGCATTCCATCGCGTAACCATATTTTTTTTTTATTTTTTACAGCTACTTTTCTTTTCTGATGTTTGAAACTCACGTTAAGTGTATCTCCAACATCAGACGCTCCAGCATCCAATGCCTTCGCCCTTCGCATCTATTCTCCACGAACTCACTCGCCTTCGTTTCGGAGGGCTGCAGAGCACTTTAAATGACGAGCGAACAAAAGTAGGACGAGCCACCAACGGGCGGTTTGCGATCGACTGCTTTTTTTGCACTCGAAGCGAATCAGATGCAGAACTGATTCGGCATTTGGGTCTCTTGTGCTGCCACAAAGGTTCATGAGCGGAGGCGCGGATGGCGGGGGCGGGAGAGGCTTCCATTTGCTGTAATTTGCGTTTGCGCTAACCGAACGTACAGATTTAGAATTAGGCGTCTGGAATTTCTGGCGAATTCAGTGGATTAAAATTTTCGCACTAGTGTAGGATCAGTTTTATCTCGGAAGGTGTCAAATTATTCACACAGGTACAAACATTTTACAAAAAATGTACTTTTTCGTAAAATGAATAGAAATCAGGGTTTCGTTTATATAAATATGCAGATCAAGAAAATCGTGAATGAAAACTATTCTTATTTTTTCCTAAAGAACCTTCTTCTTCTACACTTAAAGGGTTACGCCTGTTCCGTCTCTGTATCATTCCATCTTTTTTTGGGTCTTTCCATATCTCTTTTCGCTTTTGGTTTGTAAGCATGTGCTAATCTAGGCAGTCTTGTTTCTTCCATTCTTTGTAAGTACTGCAGCCACTTCTTTCTGACCATTTCCATTATATTATTTATGCTATTCACACTCAATTCTCGCCTGATTTCTTCATTTATTATCTGGTCTTCTAAGATGCAGCCTTTTTCTTCTTCGAAGGAACCTCCTGAAGAACCTTTTTCCCTTAAGTTTCAAAAATATAAATCCTCTCTTAAATACAGTGACATTTGTGAACGATAAACAAGTGTGATATCCGAATTTTATTTATCCATTTCTTAAAGTTCTATTTTGAACCTTTATTTCAACATTTCAAAGAAAAATAGAAGAATAAAGTAATCAAATTTGCAATCCACCTAAACAGATGTCTGTAAAATAATTCATTTTGAATCTGAAATATGAAGAGGCATAGACATAATTTACAACATCACTAAAATTATTTTTAAAATACAATCTTACCATCAAATTTTGGAGTGATTTCTTAAATTATTAATTGCTCATTTCATAGAGAACCGACCTTGGGAGAGTGTGTGCCAACCCATTTCATTCATCCTCACCCTTCATCCCGCTTGTACGGCACAGGGTTCACTCCCGTCACGACCCTCAAGGCAGCGCCGTCGTCACGGCCGCCTCCGAGGGAAGCTCTTGGCCGAGGGAGCCGCGCCGCGTGAGATTCCGCGAGTTATGGCGGCCATCAATTAGCGGCGCGCAAACATCTGGGCAATGGCGCGCGGCGCAGATGGCGCTGGCGAGAGGGCTAACGGAGGACGAGACCGCGGTCAAAAACGCAGGCGCTGTATCTGCCTTCCCTTGAGCCATCTGTCCAAAGAGAAGTGACTAGCCGGAAGGTAAATGATAGAGAGATTGATTGTTGGTTGATTAATATGTAGCATTCATGCACTGCCTTTCTATTCTGATTTACATAAAATATTTCAATAATGACCCACTATATTTAGTGATAGCTATATCTACGATAAATAAACGATGGTTTTTAACACTCGTACATGATTATATTGTATTTATCAAAACACACAAACGCGTACGTATATATATGTGTGTGTGTTCATTACTATCATCTTGGTAAACGACACTGCAAGCTCTTAGTAATAAACATTCAAATTTCAACATAAAACATTGTGGTTTTAATGTGTCATATCTATATCTATTTCTCTCTCTCTCTCTCTCTCTCTCTCTCTCTCTCTATATATATATATATATATATATATATATATATATATATATATAGTATGTGTGTGTGTGTGTGTTAATAATACAATATAATTGTGTAAAAGTGTTAATAACCTTCGTTTATTCATCTTTGATATCGCTGTCTATAAAAAATAGTTAGTTTATTTATTGAAATATTAGCTTGATTAGTGTTTCCGGGCGCGTCACGTCTAAGGTTATTACTGCAGTAAGTGTACAGCATGATTTTTATTCTGAGAGGAGGTGATGGTGATCTTCCTCCGCTAAATACTGAGTTCCGGCGCTGAACTACACGTCGGCTTGCTTTATTCCACAACGAGGTATCCCCCACCAGCGCCTCAGCATGGACAAGCCGTAAGCTCCCGACTAGTCCCCCGAGCAATGGGATAGTATGAAAGTGTGTGTAAAAGTAAAGGGCGAGGTTAGAACAAGGCAGAGGAAGGACGGATCTCGCGCAATCCATTTCTCAGTGTACTGCTCGGGCATAAGCCTGAGGTTGATCGGAGAAACCACGGAAAACTACCGATCTAAGCAGCCGTTCACTAGACTTCTCCTCCAGAGAGCGACCTAGCTATCTATCTAGTGTCGAAAACCTTGGCACCGTCGGGAATAGAACCCTAGGACCTCCCGGTTAGAGGTACGGCATTGACATCAATTGTTACCGTAAGACACTTAAGCCGGTGAATGAATGAGTCTCGTGAGGTGATTTTATATAAAAGTTGATTTAAATTTTATTAGCAGGGCTGGAAACCAGGGGTGCATGCGGCTTGCTTGGGAAACGTCCCGTTGGGTGATTACAAGTGCCGCATTACATTCTTGCGCCCACTATTTTTTTCTGTTAACGCCAAATCATCTTCGTAATTGTAACAGGAACGTGTTGTCATCCTGTCACTTATCACATACTCACTCATAACATCCAACAACTGATGTCTAGAATTACGGCACGGCAGCTTTAGCAACATCATCTGGGGTCACGACAGCGCTCTCGGCTAAGAGATCGCCTCTCAGTACAGTGGTGTCCCGATAAATGTGTCTCTTGAATGTGTGTAAGTGAATAATTATTTTAGGGCGAGATTAAGTTATAGACTTCCCTCCTTTAAGTAAATATGACTCATTTTTTTCTGTCCCAATCATGTATGTAAAAAGGTAGAAAGGTTCTTCAGTTGCGGTTATTGCATTTGGATTAGTGCGTGAAAAACGTTGCATTGTGTGTAAAAGTTTGTCTACTTCCTGTCATACAGGATTCTAATATGAGCCATATTCATTACTGAGTGTAAAAGAGAAAGAAGGCTTATGCGTTAATTACTTTTTCTTTTCTTGATAAATGAATGCAGTAGTTGTTTTAGCCTGGTGCTCTACTGAGGGCGGGGGTGATTTTGTGAGGGGAGTAGTGCTGAGATGGAATCGTACACATATAAGATGGTTCAGATAGTGGTAAGGGAAGCCACTCTTCAACAATGTGAAAAATGTTCATGATTTACACAAGGATCAAACCCGCACTGTTTCGGCGCAAAGTTTGGGAGTAAAAAGGAATTTCTGTAGCAATGACGGAACAATTTCGAAATTAAATTAAAGCAGCTAATTTTATTATTAAAACTGTCTCACGCGGGAAACAATTGAATATTTCTTGATGATTGACTGTATTACGTTTCTTGAAGTAAGTTTTGGAATTATTTTTTTGACAATCAATTTTCTAATTGTACTTATGAAATAAAGTGAAATATAGAAAATTGATCGTCTAAAAATTAATTTGGAAACCTACTTCAAGAAGAGAAAATTTTGGTTTTTAAGGAATATTTGATGATACACAGGTGGAATATTACGCATAGTATCTTTGCGGGATCAAGCTCAAGTACCAGAGGTTCACAATAATGAACATACATAAGTAGTCGTATGCGGTATCATTTTTCGACGGCAACTCGGACGCGGTCATTGTGTTCTTCGTGAAAATGTACTGGAGTATGAGGCACAGAAGCTACTTTGGTCTAAAATCACTTTTTGGCTCGCGGTCCCTACGGCAAAATATAAGCTAAAATTATATAAGACTTTGCTAAAACCTACTGTGAGAACTGAATGTCTTGCCTAAAATAAAAATGATATAAATATACTAGTTGCATTTGAAAGAAAAATTTTGAGAATCTTTGGGGCAATACAAGACAGCGACAAAGGGAGAATCCGACACAACAGAGAGATAGCAATAATACTGTTATACTCGTACAATAGCAACAATATTGTTAAAGAAATCAAAGAAGACTAAGGTAGCTTGGTCATATCTTCGCTTGCGTGTAAATAATTGACTTTTGAGCGACCTGTTGGCGCCCGCAGATTCGGAAGTCCTCCCCAAAGATGGCTGGATGGTGTTGAGGAAGATATGACACGCATAGGAGTGAAAAATTGGAGGAGGAAGGCACGGGAAAAAGATACATGGAACGAAATCTTGAAGGAAGCACAAGTTCACTTATGGACGCTTACGCGCTAAGAGGAGGAAGATGCGCTTTAATGTTGCGAGATGATTCACTACAGTATCCCACGTCGACTGTACTCCCTCAGTGTAATCCCCCTTCTTACAACAAGATGAGGTAGAAGAGGTCGGGTACTCACTGCAGACGTTGCAGCGCGCCTCGTCGGAGAGGTCGCCGCAGCCGTCGCGGCCCGAGCACGCGACGGCGGTGGAGCGGCAGCGGCCGTTGTCGCAGCGCAGCGGGCACAGCGCCCCCGGCGGCCGCCGCCCGCGCGCCTTGCACGCCGCCCGCGGCTCGTCGCTCGCGTCGGGGCACGACACCACCGCGTTGCAGAACTCGTACTCGGGCAGGCACGTGCCGTCCAGGCAGCGGAACGTGTGCTCCGGGCACCCTGCGCAACAGTTGCGACAAATGAGCAACGGAAATGAAAGGGGAGGTAAAATACAAAATTGTAGGGCAGAAAGAGTTTGAAGCATCACGAATCAAAATGAAATGATCATTATAATACATATTTAATGCAAAAATATTTTAAAAAATCATTAAAAAATAAGACACAAACTGTAAAAACGTAAGGAAACAATTGTGCTGGAAAGAAATTAAAAAATAATGTAGAACCCGTTGGCTTCTTTTCTTTGTATTTACTAAAGAGAATTATGATAATTTATTAATGTTTTCTTTTTGTTAATAGTGCAATGAATTTTTTTAAATTAAATCCCTTGTGTATGACACTGCCATTGAAAAGGAAAAATAAATATTTGTAATAAAAGAGTTGCAAAATATAAAGGTATCGTGGAAAAAATGCTCTTACAAATAAGAGGGACATGAGAAAGAAAATGAAGTGAATGGTCATTTGGAATGGTACCAGATATTGGAAACAAAATAACTCAAAATTATTCAGTGAATTCTCGGCTCCAAACTCTTAGACACACAGGATTTTTAGAGTGTCATGTAAAAACACAGTATCTATGTACGTGTACATTGAGAATTGAAAACTAGCAAGAATCATACAAGATATTACATTACTAGGAAACCTTCAGAACAAAAATACAAATATCAAAAGAGCATCAAAAAACATCAAAGCATGTTAAATTGAAAAGTTTTGCAATGCAGAAACAAATGGAACGCATGAAAAATTTAGGCACAAAGGAAGTAGAAATGTTTTTGATTATTTCGTATCATTTACATCGAGTTTATTGGTAGTGAAGAAAAAAAAGTTAATAGCACTGGGTTGCAACGCAACTTTGTGGTGCATAATACTGGTAGTCGTTAACACTCGCATAGGCCAGTGGGTTGCAGCACTTTGGTCTCTTTAAAAACCAATGCAACGATAACAAAACATATAACTAAAAATGTATAGAATGTGTAATAATCTCCTGGAATTATCTTATAGTAATTGGCAACAGAAATTATTTGTAAATATTGTGATTCTATGTTACAAGCTCGTGGTTTCTCAAGACCTAAATGTTTATGCGACCATTATAAAGAAATTAAATTAAAAAACAACAGATAACTGATCAGTATTGATAAAGCGTTTTCTCAGTGTATGGAATACGAATGTACTATTCGGTTCAGTAGAATCATTACATACTCGGAGTTCTCAAATGCTTAATCTTGAGATCCAGTAATGAAGTCGAATGACTTCATGTGCTGATCCAATAAGCAATTAATTAAAAATTTACTTTTTTATTAAAATTGATTTGATGAACTTCTATTTACGTAATTAACCGTCAAAACGTAGGGGAAAACAATACGTGGTAAAAGGGTGGGCGAAGCTAATTTAGCGTCCTGAAGCAAAGCAAGGGACCATTTCAGCCCCTTTGAGATACAGGTTGCTGATCTCAGATGACTTCGCAATAATTGTTAAAAAGTGCCGTTTTTCTATAATGATAAAATATTGGAAGTTACTCATTTATCAATATTATTATTGTATTCATAATCGAGTCAATGTTTTAGTTTCTCAAACTCATACTGGTATCAATTTGTTTTTGTTATTTAAGGTTGCATCAACATCGGTGTCATTAGCGACCACTATTGTATTTAACGGTATGGTAACTCTGAATATGACATGATATGATGATGAAAGGACGAGTACAAATACTACCACACCTGAGGTGGGATTTGAACCCGCGATCCTTCGGTCCGAGATCGCTACCGCACTATTGCCTTAACAATCTCGGCCATCCGGACCGGCCGTATCCGTTTTGCACGAATTGAAATGCTCCAAAAATGACGTCACTTATAATTTGAACATGTATAATGAACACTTAAAGCTTCTAATGTGTTCTGATGAAATATTGTAAAATAATGTACGAATATTATGCGTGGAATTTTCGTAGTGTTGTTGATATTAACACTTAATGCATATAATTTCTATCTCGTTATAATAATTTTCTATAATAATTAATATTCACATCAGGGATGCATGCACGGGAAGGTTGGAAATTAGAGCATAACTCTCTTCAAATTACGATATAATTATTCAGGAGAGAAACCAAAATTAATGTTTTGAACTTGTTCATAATTGTTTATGAATTTGTGTGGATTGCGCTAAAATTCTGCTTGGGGTAATATGTATTTCCAAAATTCAATACACTGAATAGAAGTGAACTTGGTGTTTTAATAACACAGATTAACATAACACAAATTAAAATCCAGAGAAGTCAACCCATCCAGACATTTACATGAATACGTATAAGGTAGTAAATTGTCATGTTGAAATGAATTATTATATATTCTCAATGATAACTGGCGCAAATAAAAGTGAATATATACAATTAAATTCTCCTTGAAAAATTTTGAGACTTTACCAGAACTCTTAATATTTTCTTTGTTGTGTTTCGCATTTTATTATAGAATCCGACAACGTTATGCAAATGTAATTGAGTATGGAATGAAAAAAAATATAAAGTGTAAATAACTGCCACGATCATCTAGTCTTGTATGCAAAGAATAGCGTACTATGACTAAAGATTAGTGAAGAACTCCCCTTACTCCTCAAGGAGACCCAAAAGAACACTAAACGATCGCCAATAATATCTATGAAAACATGTCTCTGTCATATTAACCTTTGCCCCACGGTGCCAATTAAAATTCAGAAAAATATGTTGGTTTCAATTTGCTCGCTCAAAAATGCTGAGCGCCCAGTTGACTTCGTGTACAATTCTTGCTTTGTCAGCACTGTGGTAACTTATTAATATGAACTTGCGTTATATTAGACATTAGTTAGGAAAGCTAAAATTATTCGAACATTGCTAGGATTGTATTAATTAATTAAAAATGATGTTTGAACCTTACGAATTATTTTTATATGTTTCTGGCAACTCTATCCAAGGTTGAAGTGACGTGAATTGAAGCTGTTGTACATATCTCTATTATACGTTGGGAGTAGTCAGTAAACTAACGAAATAAAATCTTAATTTACCTGATATTTTTTTCAATATATTGCGTCTTTTCAATTTTTTAAAAAAAAATCGTTTTTTCAATTTTGTTTATAAAAGCAATCAACATACAATACATACCGAAAATTCCCGGCAATACCCGAAAACACTTGCGTTATGGAAAAATGGGGACTGATCGTTATGTGAGGAATTAAATTATTTGAAACGAGAACTCTGATGACATAATTTCCAATAGTGCGGCACATGCACGAATTAAAAATCAATACGAAAATGTACGTTTAATTGTGCCTTGAAAACGGAATATCAAATGGGACATTTGTGAGCCGTTTAGAAGCTCTGGAGCGTGATGACCAGCGAACGCACATGGCAGTGATGCACATGCCGTGACGGAAGATAATGGGACTCTAAGAGCAATCGTTTGAGAGTAGCGAAATGGGCTAGGATAAATTAATGTTCAATACATTGATTTAGGTATTGTTCCATGGGTTGGTTGACTAGCTTATATCGGGTTGAAGCTCGAAAGAAATCTGGAGAAAGTAATTTTATATTGCTTTCATTAATGCCACCTTTTTTAGTCAAATTTTTATTTAAATTTTGTTTCTGCTGGGTCGTTTGCACTAATTTGTTTTTCAATATAATTATAATTTAAAATTGTGAAAAATAGTTGTTTCATTGCTTCTCACATAATTCATAACTCATTGTATATTCTCAATGGACAGGCATCTTTAAAATGCAATGTTAGAAGTTTTCAGAAGAAAGATCATCTTCTGAAGATTCTGGCAATGAAATGAAAATATTTATTATTGATATTATATTTATGAAATTTCAATTTATCGCTAATAAGATAAGGCCACTTAATGAGCATGTGCATATTTTGAAGAATATTGTTGCCTGAGTTGTGTGAATGAGGAAATATAACAATAAAAATTTGTGTCACATTCGTTAGTGTTGATCGTACATCTAAAGTTACAATTATTAATTCAGGCTTTACCAAGATGGTAAAACATTTACTGGCGTTATTTGTTGATTATAGTGAATAGATAATCATCATATCTATTCTCATTGCAGACTTTCGAATTAAAGATTGAAATAGCTAGTTAACCTAAAGATATTTATCTCATTCGTTAAGGTATCTAATTGCGGATGTAAATGCGAAAAACGAAAAAAAAAAACAACTCGTTTTGGAGATAATTTGATCAAGGAAAATGTGGTAATATGCATGAATCATAAATACCCGTTACTTTGTCGACACTAGTCAATTTCAGCCTTGATCTGACATTGCTTTATCTCAGCTCATCCAAAGCCCTTTCCAATAATGTGGGGTATCTCATATGAGAATGGAATACCAGGTAACAAGACGACAGGTTGGGAAAGGAAAAAACACGTGTGGTCCATGATCCGTTTCAACGATATTACAGCTTGACAGATCGCCTGGAATTTGTCGGAGGAACTCATAAAAGTATCTTTAAGATCAGCTGCCCTTTTAAAATTCTTCTACCGCACCCAATCTAGGCACGCGGTGAGGAGCTAGGCAGTGGCGTCGTACAACTCAACTACGAGTACAACCTGGCATAAACAGTCGGGGACCGCCGGTTGGCCTCTGCAGGACCAAATAATTCTAAAGGTCGAGTCTTGGCAGTTACTGTTCAAACTACTCGTACATCGGGTACATGGGTAGATCGAATGCAACCGATGTCTGGAGAAGAATTCAAGCGATCATCTGCTCGGAGAGCTAATCTTCAGTGATTTCTCCGAATAATAAAAGGCGACTATTTATTACTCATTACCCTATTAAACAGATCACGGTTCTCTTCCATTCTTCCTCATCATTGCCCCCTCTCTACCCTTAAACACACACACCCACACACATACACTGATTTACATACATATCGGGAAATAAGTGAGGAACGCTGCAGGGAAGCACATGGCAAGAAGGTCGGCGCCAAAAGCGATTTACCGGGGGAGAACCAGCGCCACTTTCGCGAATATACCA